CCTTTTTTGGCGATAGAAAATATCGCCAGGTTTTAAATTACATTACAATTTTTACCACTGCTTGTTAGTTCGGTAGACGATAGTTTTCAAATTAGATTATTCGGGGCAAAAGTTATTGCAGTGTGGATGATATGGCTTTTTTTCCTTCAAGTACGACAAAAACATTCTCAGAAGTTTTTTTTCTATTTTTGTCGTGGTTGTGGTGTTATTTATTTTTTTATTATAGATTTAAGAACAAAATAGGTAAAACTAGTTTATTCAACAGATCGAATGTTTCAAGGTAATCATTTTGGAATACCAACAATGAATTTAGAAAGCCAATGATTAAAGTTCTATACATTTCTTTTTTAATCGAATTAATTCATAATTGAGTTGACACCAAGTGGAATTCTCTCTTAAAAAATGTTAAATGCTACTTTTGTTAAATGCGTTCAATGGTTGATTTTCCGAAAGAATATTCAACGAAATTAAAAAAAAAACGCCATTTTTCTATTTAATTGGAATGAATAATGAGTTGGAACCAATAAATGAAAAAAAAAATTTTTACTGCCTGGTACAAATAAATACTTGAAACATAAATAAGCCTAAAAACCTAATCCATTAATCATTGTAGTCCTGATACTAATCCAACTAGAATAACCCAATAAGTGAAATACTTATCTGAACTAATTGTATAATAGTGATAAGTTGGTTATTTAGTCCGTGTTGCCGATTTGAAATTTTATATATATATATATATATATATTTGATAATAATTCTTTGATAATTAAAAACGCATGCTCTTTAAAATTTATATTTCTACTCCGTAAATTTTTTTTTGCGTATTTCAAATACCAAAATTGGCTTTACTCTAAAGTAGTGCTCCATTACACCAAAAACCAAGAATAGTTGCAGGATGAATATTTTTTATCACTACTTGGTGTAAAATAGCCAGCCTCATTTTTGTTATTTATTTATTCTAAAATTTGTTGTTATAGTGAGATATGATACACTTTAGAGTGAGTAAAGTTATTTTTACGACGCAATACGAAGTAATAATAATTTTTTTGGGACGCATATGTACTACATTTCATAAAATAATAAAATTAATTTGTTTGTTAAACGAGCATCCAAACAGCTTAGAAAAAAATATTAGCATAAATTCGAACGAAGTTTATACCGAAGTTCTTAAATTTGAAGCCCTGGAAACTAGGTAATCAAGGGCTTTACTTAAAAAAATATAGACAGATTTATGCAAATCTTTTGAGAACATGTTTATAATTATTATGTAATATATAAACTACACAATATATATTTAATTTTGCAACCGTTGTTGAACATCTGATCTAATTTTGGATTTACGAATATCAATGTTCATCTCCATAGTAATTTTGAACCCTATCTAGAAGACAAGGGATCAAGTATTGGGATAAATTTGCCTTCGTGTCGTGTAGGGCTTTTTGATGGAGCTAACCTGCATTTATGTTACACGGAGAGGATAACTACGAAAATCTTCCATGGTTAGCCTGACTGAAAAGGGACTCTAACTCATGATCCGTCTACCACTGAGGATATTTCTCGTTAGCACTGTGGTCGGTGCGAACCGAGTGCGGAATTCGTATCGACTGACCCTCGTTGGAATTAAAACCCGGTTCAATGCATTGAAGGTGAACGCGATATCCCCTGAGCCACTACGGCTCTATACAATATGTACAAATTATACAATATATTAATACACTATATACAAATTATAAGTTACAATATTTATTTTCCATATACTGGTTCCCCCCCCCCTATTTCGAGATTCATGAATCCAAATCTCTTGAAAAAAGGTATGTTTATTCAGGTAATTTTTGTGACTGATTACTACTTAATTAACATATTTAAGATTCACCCCTTTGTATCATTCTGATAGAGTTCTGGTCAGTAGTACTTTGGTCATAGTACGTAATAATCATTTGGTCAAGTGGTATAATAGTAAGGGTGCTTTTTTGAATACTAGACCGTTATCCCTGTTTCAATTCTTTGAAATTAACTATTTTGTCTTCTAAAGTGATAAAAACTGATTTGGATGCTGCAGTAAAGCTTCCGTGACAAATTTTCAAAAATCTTAAAAAAAAAAAAAAAAAAAAAAAAAAAAAAAANAAAAAAAAAAAAAAAAAAAAAAAAGTGCAACTCTAAACTCTTGCCCTATACTGATTTAACCAAACTTTCGGAAAGGTGATTGCTCATTATTATCGGTATAGATTTGTCAAAAAGTTTTTCAAATAACGCTAATTGTATTTCTTTACTATTTCTCTCATTCTAATTGAAAGACAACCGGATACTTTCAATATCTTTCGAGGAAATATAAGAATAGATAAAAATATAAGAATAGAAAAAAATATTAAAAAAAAGATTAAATATCTAACATCAGTTTATTTGTAAAAGTCAGATGATTAAGTGCATATTTCGAATTTTCCTTCTATGTTTACACTCCTTTGATGGTTGATTT